TACTTTGTAATGGTTCTCTTTGTTCCATTAGGACTCGGCGAGATGGACCACCAAGCGCTCCCAACGTTCCACTAGCACGACGTGACAAGATCGCGGTTGTCCAGCAAGAACCACCTCCGCAGCCTAAACGGTTTGTTTTAAGTGCTCGTTTTCTCTTACCCGTTTTCGTTCTTGATGCTTTGATAATGATTCTAATTTTTCTAGGACGGCCGACGAGTTTGTCGTCGTACCGTCAGCGCAACGTAGAACACAGACCGTTCGTTATAGTATCGCACCAGCCTTCACTCCTCAAACACGGGACTTTCCAAGCTTGGGAAATTCTACCTCAGATCCGGCTCTCAACGTGAGCAATGGCATTTGTTCTCATCTCTTCTAATAATTTAATACCTTTTGTATGGAGCTTAGGTAAAGCCATGTTTTCGGCTTCAGGTGTTGTGTTTTAGAGTTTGCGTCCGGATAACTTCCCCCGTTTAAATCGTGTGAACCATCCTGGTGGAGTACCGAACAGTGTTGCAAAGGCAACTCAGCCTTCGTCAGTGGCAGCGTCATCTTCTGGAGCACCTTCGTCTTCACGTGCTCTTCAGAAAAATCCCTCATCAGTCCAGTATGTTTACACAACTCTTCCATATATGAAAATCAAGCTTACCTCTAGGCTCATTAGTGGAAGTCTTTCGGTTAATATTACCTCTGAACTTTGCTTCTTGGATCGGAGCTGATGGAGAAGAAGGGAAGACTGAGCAGGAATGAGCAAAATGTGAAAAAAAAAACGAAAAGAGTAAAGAGAGCATCTCATAGACAGACGGCGGCAATACACAAATCTGTGTACTAACTTTAGGAGCGGAAAAATTGCAACATCAGAGTTGGGCAGGAGTTCCATAAGAATGTAAGAGTATATGACCTAGAAAATGCCAGAGTGTGGGTGCAATACTGTTGTGAGCATTACGGAAAGTGATAGAGGAAACCCGCGAAAAGATTATGATTAATGTCTTTCTCTCATTGAGGGTATTTTATCTCGAATGGTAATATCATGAATGCTTTCAGATCTTCGAATCAGCGTCAGGGCGTAGACGACTTTCCTGCTCTACCAACAGCGCAAAAGCAGGGTCAGGCAAGTTCTGCATGGGTTGGCAAGAAAAGTTCCAAGGTAAGTTTAAGTCATCATTACAGTGGAGGTGACTACTACATTATTTTACTCCACTTTTGTTTTTTATTCTTCTTCATATGCACTATTATTATCCATCGCACTGATTCAGTCTGTCATCGTTGGTTGTAAGATGCCAAATAGGACTTTGCCACAACCTGACGTATGGCCGGAAATATCAACCACAACGCCAGCCAGAGAAATAGAACCGGAGCAATGGCAAGAGGTACATACACTATTTTGATCTGCGTGAAAATAGGCACTTTTTCAACAGAAATTCGCAATTCGCCTTCAAAATGGGCTTCTTCGAAAGACCGGGGACGATAAGTGTTCAAAGTGATCCAAGTATACCTGAATGAAGTAGGGTAGGCCAGCAGTGGGCGGTGCGCGTCGTAAAGTAGTGATGTTTGAATATGCTATTTGAATTGGAGCAACAAGAGAATGATCAGACAAAAAATTGCAAAGGTTAATAGCAGCTCCAAGGACGAGATGAAAGTAAAAGCTAGCAACGTGTAGGTGGACCTGTATTGGTGTGATATAGCATGGGCATATATCATAAGCGCAGGGTCAACCCGTGGCGTTTGCGCAATGTAAGGAAGAGGTGGTCGTATCTCGGGCCGAACAAAAGGGGGGTCGTATCCAGAAAGACGGGGCTGCAATGGGGCTTTAAAAGTGCAGTGTCCGGCAGTGCACTTTCACGCTCTAATGTTCTCCAGGAGCTCTGCACAGTGCAGCTGTCGGAGAGTCACACAGACAAGAGCTCCATGGGAGCATTAGAGCATGCACAGCGTCATAAAGTCTCACTATCAGCCATTATTATCCTTAATACACGGACGGCGCGCTTTCGCTCGACAGGATATGTCAAGGTTACAATAGCCAAAAACGAGTGCAAAAACATGGTCTGTCTTCGATGATCGAACATTCCTAAAATCCCAAGGAGAACAAATTGTAGAGCACCTCATGGGGAAGTGAAACAAGAGTACCATATAACAATATATATGCAATACAATGCAATTCGGTCACGATACTAATACAATTCTTCAGGAAAATGGAGGACATTCAAATGCGAGTGCGACTTCTAACCAACAGACAGGTGCACGGCGCGGACCAAACCCGAGCAGGCGTTTTCTCATAGAAACGCCTTCTCTGTCAGCGGCCGTGAGCAGACAAACTTCCTGAAGAGAATTTCGATGCTTTCAAATTGATCTAAGCGAAACAAAGTGTAGCGAACTTGCTGAATTGACTTCTAGAGAGCCCTTAGGAAATCGAGGGAATAGAGAGAATTTCAGGAAAATTTCACAGTTGTTATAAAGTACTCTTCGAGTAGATTCCAACGGTCCTTACCGCTTCTCATCACATCAACTTTGAAGTCCCCCCCCCCACACCCGAAGTTATGGATGTTATATTTGAAAAATCGTCCCGTTGTTCCGTTTTTTGTGCACACGCGAGTTTTGACATTCAAACATTCATAACTTTCTTCATAATCAACTTTTTGCAAGATGTCTAAGGCTAATTAGAAACTAGAAGATTAGAGCTTTCAAACAAGCACCTCACTTTTTCCAGCGATCCTTCTCAAAAAATAGTCCCGTTGTTCCGTTTTTGTCACCTTGATTTTTTTAAGCCTATTTTCATGGACCGCGACTATGCATTTTAAATATAGAACATCCGCAACATTTCAAATACTTTTTTAGGAAGAAAACTATTTGAATTTTCAAAATTTTGGTGTCCGGTTCCATGAGACCGCTTCTGAAAGAAAATATAACCTTCTGAATGGAGGGGTTTGGATTGCAACGTAATTGCTACAAGGTTTAGTTTTTCAGATTATAAAATAAGGAAAACGCGAGTTTTCGACATTCAAGCACTCCTAACTTTCTTCATAGTCAACATTTTGCAGATATTCAAGGCTAATTAGAAACTAGAAGATTAGAGCTTTCAAACAAGTACCTCACACTTTTTCCAACGATCCCTCTCTCGAAAATAGTCCCGTTGTTCCGTTTTTGTCACCTTGATTTTTTTTAAGCTATTTTCATGGACCGCGACTATGCATTTTATAAATATAGAACATCCGCAACATTTCAAATACTTTTTAGGAAGAAAACTATTGAATTTTTAAAATTTTGGTGTCCGGTTCCATGAGACCGCTTGAAAGAAAATATAACCTTCTGAATGGAGGGGTTTGGATTGCAACGTAATTGCTACAAGGTTTAGTTTTTCAGATTATAAAATAAGGAAAATTGAGAGATCGAAAAAAAACTTGGTGGGTTTCTGAAAGTAGAAATCTTTGTGATTATTATCATGTATTGGTTTACGCAAAAATTTGGAAATTCCTTCTCTATTTAATGAATAAAACTTCATGTTGCCTCGATTCCTCCTCTGAGCGAGACAGAGCGCGCGGATTGACCACGGTCCACCACTTCTCCATGTTGGTGACTGCCCACACATCAATGATGAGCATTAAATTATGTGAAAGACATAATAGTTAATACGGGGGTCGTACCGATACCCTCCGAAAAGGAAGGGTCGTAAAATTTTGTAATTTGCGCACGCAATGGGTTACCTTGATCATAAGCATTCTTGTATCCGTCCATACTCGCCAATCCGATTAAAAATTACAGTGAAAAATGAAGGGCGCACTCTTAAAGGGTCTTATGTATACATGTTGTATTAACACCTTGGAGCCCACGCAGCCCATATGTGGGCTGCAGTCCTCCGACCGCATAGGACCTTTCAGCTCGCATTTCGTAAACAATTATTAGGTTTTTCATTCATTTTCTTTTCCATTTTATCCGATAAGATTTCTTCTGCATTATACAGTGGGTTCTTCTTTGAATTTGCTAGATAAGATCCCTAAAAATTTCACCGAAGTCCCGCGCGGCCGCGGAACGTAAAACACGCGCGGTCTCCAAAGTGTTAAAACAGTCTACGCTAGATGCGGTATAACTGTCAGTAATCTTTCATCTCATTTTTGTCTCACTATTTCAGGTACCAGCCAAACCGCAAAAGCTGGACAAGAAAACACGGAAAGCGCAGCAGAAGGTCATCAAGATTGATGCTGGTAGTACATCAGATGAGACCAGGAAAATCCTTCAGCTCTTAGTGCTTCAACCGTTGGTACCATTGGGAGCGAAGTTGCAACCGACTTTAACATGGTCAAAGTCACCGGAAATCTTCCTCCAGTGAAGACCAAGAAAAAGAAGGATGTGGTCAAGGATGATCATTGAAAGCAGTGACTGACAAATTAGTCAGCCCACTGAGGTGAACTAAGTGGTTCTCCGAGTCAATGTTGGATCAAAGACCTTCTAGCAGAAGTCGAGAAGTATGTGGAAGAGTCGGCTACGAAAAGTTCTCCTCCAGCTGAAACGGCTTCTCAAAAATCTTCTATTTTAAACTGGGTAGGTGTTCTTTTTCATTTTATTTGCACTTTTTCGAGGCTCTCTTCTCTGTTGCTGTCGAACAACACGTTAATGTTCGCAGTTTATGAAGGATTCTGAATTAAAAGTTTTCTTTCTAAACTCTATCTCAGAAAGTACAGAAAATTCACTTCTTCCCTCCCTTGAGTATTTGACCACTTTCAGTTCACTTCCTCGTCATCTTCCATATTTTCGAACCTATCACTGGCAAATGTCATGGGTGCGAAAAATGTTGAGCAAGGTTCGGATTCCACTCCTTCACTTCCTTCTAGTGTTGGCACAAACAAGGTTCTGCCACATCAAGCTCCACCTGCTGAAGCGCTAGGAAGAATTCCACCTTTCGTAAGTGCTTTTGCAACTAATATTGCTTTTAAGATTTGTCGTGGAATTTGTCCTAACGGAGATCTGGAGGGTAGCACCATTGATCTCGAGTGCAATTTCCACAACTGATTTTGGTTAGCTCTGTATCCGCTGTTTCTAATATTTCTTTCAAAATGTGTAGTGTTTCGTGGTGCTGTAAAGCGTCTTTATTTCACAAACCTACTATGATTTTCAAAGATATTATTCTTTTGATTCTTTTCCGGCAAACCTGCTGTTATGTTTGTATTTCAGGTCGATGCTGCTCCACCAGGTCTCAACGTCGGACCATCATTAGCTGGTAACCTTTTGAGTGGCCCTCCACCTGGATTCGAAGGCGCATGCCCAGATGACGCGCCACCTCCTGGTCTGTCATTGCCGTCTACTTCACGGCCAGTTTTTTCCATGGCGCCATTCATCTCTCACTCTGATGTTAATAAGAATACAACTGGTGGGTTTGAGAAGAGTCGTGTGGAGGAGAGCGACTGGATGAAAGTTGGAGGCAAATAAAAAAGTGCGCTGGGTATACTCTGGTACAAAGTAGTTGCACAAGGTTTGGCTCTCTGCTTGCTGTGTGGTAATGTTTTAGAGAGCCAACGGGATTCGTAGTATATTATTGATTACCTTCCTCACTTTACTGGTTTCGTTTTGATTAGTGCATGAATGTATGGTACAAAGGGATATTGGTAATGTGATTGAAGCTCCTTCCTTTCTTCTATCGCATTTGCGATCGCCTTGTTTTCTTGTGTTTGGGAAATTGTTTTTTTTTCTACTGCTACCTTACTTACGGTTTTTAGAGTCGCGTTATTACATTTCGCGTTTTATTCTTTTAGACAATTAAGGATGTTGTAGAATTTCCTCACTCGAATCTATAGTTAAGGCCGTATTGGATGGTTCGGTGACGTATTAGTTAATGGGTCTGAAGGTTCCATATTATGATTTCATTCACCATGTAGCCGATTGGCTTTCTTGGCGAATTCCCATTTGAATATTGATCGCTTCGCGTAACCTCGTAGATACCTTTCCAAAAATTGCTTTTACCCTGTATAGATTCGTTTATGAATTCATGTATCATTGATAGGGAAAGATTTCTATTGCTTAACGAATTGCCTTATATCACGGTGGAAAATGAATAAATGTTCAAAAATCACTTGAAAGTATGTTTCATTTCTCTGAGAGGAAATTTCGTCGTTTCTGAACACAATCATCTCTTTGGGATGTGCTATGCATTAAAGGCGAAGTTTACGATAAGGCAGCCGATTAGAAGTCAATGATAGAGGTGGTGAGTGGCAGGGTCACCCTGCCGTTGGTACGTTTTGCGAATTTTCATTTTCATGACCTTCCTTTTCCGGGTTCTTGGTACGACCTCCCCCCTGTGAGCGTGTATGTATGAACATTATTCTTACATACGGACAGGGAAAAACTCAGGGGCACTGGAGTGCTTCCAGTTTTACCCGGTATTCCTGGCCCCAACCAAGTAAAATTTCAATGAAGTTTGCATTATTCTGCCTCTCAAAATCGTCCGTCGAAGTTGAAGGCAGCATGACAATTTATGGTGTAAGCTTGAAAAGAACTGGAACTTTCCTGGAAAATTATCGGTTTGACAATTAGTCACATTGGGACATTTTGCTGGGTTTGTGGGACAAATTTTTTGGAACTGCGAGTTTCCTACTTTTAAATGGTCACAACTTTGTACAAATTCATTAATTTGGGAAACTGAAATCTGTTTGACAAATTTTAAGGTATAACCTTTTCAAAATGTGCCAAAAATTATTCAGAAACTTACCTATTAGAAAATTAGTCTGATTGGCTCCATTTTGGAGGAGCACTCTTCATGCACTTTTTTTTTTGAAAACGCAGGTCTTTGAAGTTTTAGTAGTCGTAGTTTCCTACGAAAATAGCACTTAAATAAATCACTCAAGCGTTTGTGCAAATCCATTTCTCGAAGGAGTCCCTAATTTCATTCGTCTCAATCACTTCAGAAACATTGTGATCCTACTGAAACAGTTTTGTTACTTATAACTCTGATTAAATGTGCTTTGCCCTAACAATCCCTGCCATGGTGTGCGCCGCGCCTGCGCTGTGCTTCTAATTTGCCGATGGATTCAAAATCTACCAAATGTGACCCTCTCCTCTGCGGTAATTGTACAGCATACGGTTAACCCTGGTTAATGGTGCAGGGATTGAGAAAAACAATAAGAAACGTTCCGGAATCCGAGAAATGGAACCAAATCCTTGCTTCTCACCGATGCGACTCTCATCGGTGTTGCCCTCTTGAGCACCGATGCTCTCTTTGCTAAACGGTCAGAGACAGCCAGCGAGAGGGTGGGCGTGCCGCGGCACGAGCGGTGCGACTACGGCGCTACTAGGCCGCTAGGGGCGGTACCGCACCCTTAAGGGGGGACTGCGGGACCGCTTACCTTTCAGCTTGGTATATTTCCTTACCCCGACCCCGACCTTATTGTGGGATCCTCCCTCGAATGAGAATTTTTGATATGACTTCGCGCCAGAAATTGAAGGCCATTCTATCTCCCCGATCGGAGTTTGCGCCATATAGTCGGACCTGCCATTCCAGGGCATTCTTTTCTGAAGAGTAATCAGTGCCATTGCCTCTGTAATACAGCTAGTTATTTGTCAGCGATTAACGACAATTGTAGTTTGATATTTTGGGATGAACTCGAGGTAGTTTGATACTTTGGGAAGAGCCTGAGCTGTCAAATGCGAGGAATCGAGCTCATGTGAGCAAGCGGTAGACTCGAGGCATTCCTGTGCTTCATGTTCACCAGTCTGAATCTTACAGGTTCTAGTTATGCTGAAATGGGCAACTTTTTTGTATGCAATTCTGTAGGATAGGTAAGAGACATTCCCCTCAAAAGCAGTTGTCCTATTACGAACGACCCAACTGGGGAGTATTTTCAAAAACATACAGTGCCAACAGTGGAGCATCATGATTTCCCATGCTTCCGAAAACGGCAAACCGGCGAGAGGCTTCGACAATAACCCAATTTTGTGGTCAAAGAAGCGATAAAGAATTTTGCTCTTCACTAACAAGACTCATATTATTAGGTATTTACACGGAGGATTTCCAGAAGAGTACCGGAGGGTGTTTTTTAGGGATTGGAATTTTTCATCTTCCATATTTTTTGTATCACGGAGTGTTTAGTTTTTTGAATTCCTGTCCATCATTATGTGCGCACGTTGCCGGTGTATTAAATAAATAAATAAATAAATAAATAAATAAATAAATAAATAAATAAATAAATAAATGGACGATTTCTTGACCGGCCAGACATTTGAGGGGTCGAAAAGAGCAAGAACTCCGAAAACCCATCTTGGATAACCGGTGACATTTCGACAGTACTGTTGCGCCACTTTTGAAGGCATGCCAAGTTGAACCGCCCAGTCCAAGCGTCTCTATGGATTCTACCTTGTGAATAAAGTAACTATATCAATAATCAAAGGAACAAACTCTCACTGTAATTCCTTGAAACAAGACAATACAAGCACAATGGTTATACCGGCCGAGATTGCAGTGAGAGAGAAGCTGGAATTCGCCACAACAATTGCGAAGCGATTATTGATAATTTTAATTAGCTTTATAGATCAAAAGCGAAATTAGTTCGCCTAAGGTGGACGAAGAGCGAGCACAAATGTGCAATAACATAGTAAGGGCAAGCTGGGCCAACCCAGCGTTGGTACTTTTTCTCATATTTTTACGACTCCCTCCTCGCTTTTCGTGAAATTTCCTATAATATTGAGAGCGTCCCCTCTTTCCTGACCTCTTAATCTTTGCCATCAGTACGATCTCCTCACAAAATTGCATATTCACTCCCCATTCCCCCTTTAGTGCTAGTACCAACGGATTGGTTGACAGTAGTGAAGCGAGTTTTAGTACTATGAAGGCCGCATTGGTTGAGGGGTGCTCAAAATGTTACAGTACATCTGAGCCTGCACAACCATCTGATGTTATTCGAGGCTAACAGGCCACGGTCTATTTGGCTAGAGTTGCCGAGTGATTCTAAGCAGGTTGTTGACCTTATTTGTGTGCTCGATCCGATGCGATTCTACAAGACGTGTGTTTGTCTAGCCGCTACTTACACTACTTGAATGGCTGCTTAACCGTCCTAATTCGGCCGTTTGAGCTGCCCGACGTCAAATGTGCTCACTCTACGGAGCCAGCTTTCACAACGGCGCCTTATGAAGAATAGCGACAGCTTCTACCTGAGTCACTCTTCCATATTGCGTAACTGCCCTTGCTGTTGGTTAAGTAATAAGGTCAAACATCTTTTGGATTTTGCCAAAATTCCAAGGGTGGCTGTATGTGTTTTGAAGGGATTCGTGGAAAGACTAGCATATTTCCACAAATCTTTTGTAAGACATTTAGGCTTTCAAACGCTTCTGAAGCTTTCAACGGAAGTCGGAGGCACGATGCTCCTTATAAAAATGCTGGTCGGCGCCCCGCGCTGTTGATTTATTTCAAGTTGTAGAGGGTAAAAATGGCGTTTGGTAAGGCTCATTTATTGTGTTCTGCGTCTCTAAGGACCACCGACAAATCGTATACGACGTTGGTATCTCTTTATTGATCGCTTTAGCTTTAG